GGGGATCCGGTTAAAATTCCGGAACCGGGACGTGGCGGTTGACGGCAACGTTAGGGAGTCCGGAGACGTCGGCGGGAATTCCGGGAAGAGTTATCCTTTCTGTTTAACAGCCTGCCCACCCTGGAAACGGCTCAGCCGGAGGTAGGGTCCAGCGGCTGGAAGAGCACCGCACGTCGCGTGGTGTCCGGTGCATTCCCGGTGGCCCTTGAAAATCCCGAGGACCGAGTGCCGCTCACGCCCGGTCGTACTCATAACCGCATCAGGTCTCCAAGGTGAACAGCCTCTGGTCGATGGAACAATGTAGGCAAGGGAAGTCGGAAAAATGGATCCGTAACTTCGGGAAAAGGATTGGCTCTGAGGGCTGGGCTCGGGGGTCCCAGTTCCGAACCCGTCGACTGTTGGCGGACTGCTTGAGCTGCTTCCGCGGCGAGAGCGGACCGTCGCGTGTCGGCCGGGGGTGAATTGTAACATCCCGGTTTGTGGTATATGGAAAGGCTTAAGAGAATTGATTTCGCTACCTATGTCACCAAAGTGCACTTACCTTTTCGGGAGCACATCCAGAGAGAACTCTAGAGTTAAGCGTGCTTGAGCTGGAGTAGTCAAAGGATGGGTGACCTATCGGGAAGTGATTTGCGATACCGTGTAAGTGAGGCCAAAACACGGGGAAAGGTCGGGTGGTGATTGCAGGGTCAGTAAACATGACTCTAGAGCCTTAGAAAATTAACGAACCGGCCGTTGGAACGGGATGGGGCCCACGGGCCGAGAGAGCGGGCGTGGGTGGCCCATTAGCCGTGGGCGGTCGGGGCGTTACAAGTGGTTTGATCCGAAAATAAGGGCTCGATAAATAGCTCGACTGAGAGGAAGGTAAAAAGAATCCATCGTTGATGGATTAAACATGGCTTTGATTACAGAAAAGAGAGGAGGAGAGGAGTGAGGAAGAGGAATCGCCGAGAGGATGGAAAGAGGAGAGGATGACCTAATGGGTCTCTCGATACACATATTCCAGGCCCAAATTTCAAACCCATCCCATCCGATAGATTTCCATGTGTCGCTGACCTGGCAGAACAAAACAATTTTATTGGCCGATTAAATTTAGTGACGTGGACAGCTTATAATCTCTAGAATAAGCCCTTTTAATAAGAGTAGATGGTTTTACAGCTCTGTCGCGTTTAAAAAAAAAAACACTGTTGCTTTACTGTTTATATAGTCATTTACTAGGTAATTTTCCCGTGCTCATACACGGATATTCATATTTATTAAGTAAATATATTGTACTATATTCTAATTTATTAATTTAGATAGATATTTACTTTTAATTATAAATTAATTTATAATTTACATGTATAACTTACATTAATAATATTATTTTATTTTATTTCTATATACGATTTGGGAGATGTTATATTTAATCGGTTTGGTTTTTTTTTGGGTCAATAGTCGATTTGGTTACACTTGTGTATTTTAGATTGCAACTATTTTTTTGAATTAAACTATAATATATTTCTTCTAAATATACTAAAACTTTGATTATTATTTCAT